AGGAGGTCACAGTTCGATTCCCGGTCAGGGCACATGCCCGGGTTGTGGGCTCGATGCCCAGTGTGGGGTGTGCAGGAGGCAGTCGATCAATGATTCTTTCTCATCATTGATGTTTCTGTCTCTCTCTCTCCCTCTCTGGTCCTCTCTGAAATCAATTAAAATATGTAAAAAATAAAATAAACAACAACAACAAAACAACAATAATGACAAAACAAAAAATATCTAAGGCGCACATCCCAGAGACTAAGGCAGAAGAGATTCAAAAAAGAGGAACAGTTCATGCTGAGCTCTTCTTTTGCAGTGGACAACAATTATTGCATCACTACATAGGGAAGTTTGGGTAAAAATCTTACCAAGTTATGCAAATGGAAGCTACACAATAAAGATGTAGGGTTTTGTTTTCATTAATATCAATCTTAATCAAGTCTTACTATTCTTTCCAATATCAGATTTTGCCAGCCCAGGGCTTCCTTTATCATTCCTGAAAAATTTGTTTATCTCTTACTCATTTTTTCCTGACATACAGTTTAGTTTCAATTAAAGCCACTCTTGTGATCCTAAGGTAGAAGATTTCGGACACACAGGTAGGTTTTCGGACACACAGAGATGTCAATTCAACCGGACTGTAAGGTTTTGCAGGACAGATATTAAGCCCTTGAACATTAAAGGGGCCGAATAAATATGTCTGGAAAGAATGATTACATTCCATATATTTAAACACAGAAGTTAGGTCAGCTAGTATTATAGCTGTCACCCAGCCCCAGCGAATATGGAGCCCATGGCAAACATTGCTAATTGATCATGGCAACTCCTCAGCTGAGCCTGTATAAGCCCACAGCACTACAAGCAGCTACTACCCACTAGTCAGAGTTGGTCCAGATGACCCAACATCATTCCCAAGTTAACTATGTTAAATTTGAGCTTTCCCAGCTCTCTGCTCATGTCTGCATGGTATGCAGCCAGCTCAGCAGCTGCCTGGCAGAAACAAAGCAGTCAAGTGCTACTTGGCCTTTCTGCTTTACTATGTCCTTCTTCTACTCGAAATTGTGAATGAGTTTCCTTCAGTTATTAATTTAACTCATGCCTAGACATGTCCTTTCAGGTCAACTCAGAGAACCGAATCACATAACATGCTGATTCCAGATCTCTATCCATCGCTGCCCACCTCTGGTTAGACACCCTTTGTCAAAATGCCCTGTGAAACCTGAGATTCAGCTGTACATTGCATTTTTTTTTTTTTTGAAGATGAATCTGGTAGCAGTCGTCATTGCACGTTCCTGTTTAAAAGTCATTTGCTGGTTTCCCGCTGTTTATCTATAATAGGATAAAATCCAAACTCGTTTGCATGACATCAAGTTTCTCACAATGAAAGGACCACTTCATTCCCCTTCTCCTGCCCCTGCCTATTATTCCATCACACCAAATCCTTCTTTGTGTGTGGCTGCATTTGCTTTCTATGGCTCCTTTCTACGGCACTTAAGTTACAGTCTTGGTGACTGAACACACAACTTTATTATCTTTCCGTTCTGTGGGTTAGAAGTTCAGCATGGGTCATAATGTGTTAATTAAGGAGTTGGCAGGGCTGTATTCCTTCTGGAAGCTCTAGGGGACCATCGTTCCCTTGCCTGTTCCAGCTTCTCATTCCTTGGTTCATGGACCCCTCCCACCTTCAGAGCCGGCAAGGGCTGGTCAAGTCTCTCCCACGTGGCATCACTCAGAGGCTGACTTCTGCTTCCCTCTTTCACTTATCAGGACTCTTGTGATTATACTGGGCCCACTGGATAATCCTGAAAAATCTCTCCCTGTCAAGATCCTCAACTGAATCACATCTGCCAAGCCCCAAAGGGAGTATCTTTTGGGGGAGGGGTAGCTATCATTCTAAATACCACGATGGTGTTTCTCCTGCCTGGGAAGTCTCCTTCTCTGCTTGGAAGTCCCCCACCCAATTCCTTAGGCATTCCTTAAAGTCCCATGGAAATGTCACTATTTTCATGAGACCCCTCCTCTTCCTCCAACCCAAGGGGCTCATTCCTAAGTCTCCTCAGTTCCATGTACAACCACCTCTCCTGCAGCACTTGCTCTGAACTATAGTTTATCTGTCCTCAAGCATGTCTCGCTGACTGGGTGTGAGTCACTGTCTTATTCATTTTTGCAGCCTCAGGGGACTAACTATAAAAGATTGTGGAGAAGAAAAATGAATTGTGATATTTTGATGAGAAAAGACCTCAGGTGGAGGCAGGCACAAGACCAATAAATTCAGAGGACTTCTGTTTTGAGTACAGTTTAGAAACTATTTCTGACAGCTCTTACCTGGTTATCATCACATGATCAACCAAACCCCTTAATCCTTTAACCACTCCAAGGAGGTATTAGAGCAACCATTTGCATCTAAGGCCATGTTTAACTTCATTATGATTTGCCAGGGGTCACAAAATGTGGTCATAGTTTTAAGTGTCCTGGGCTTGGCTAGACAAGAACAGGCCACACGCCAAATTATTTGAGATGGGAGATGTTCCAGAAGTGAGATTTGACTATATTTTTAAAGGTAATAGTTTGCTATGAATATCTAATGTTACTAATTTCTATAAAGTATAGAAATCTAAAGACATGAAAAAATAATTATGTGCTTGGCACTTGAGCTGCAAGAACCCAACAGTTAGGTACAAAAGAGAAGAAATTATTACCTGTTTTCTAATTTGAATACAAAAATCTACTTTGCTACTTTCTCTTCGTTAGCAATAATAAAATCCCTCTTGAATCTAAACCCTGTTGCTTTTGTAAGTTTTAGGTTAGGAGAATGTGGAGTTTAAATATGTCTTTTGTTAAATTTCATTGTCCTTCCTAACTAAAAACAAAACCATATACATAGATCTAGAAGGGGCCTATTGATCTATATTAAACCTCACATTCACAAAGGCTTAGTGCTTCCTCAAGGTCAGCAGAGCCAGTACTAACTTCCACTTGGGAATGCAGCCTGAGAACACCCAACCTGCTGTACAGGATAAGTTGTACACATATGTGTTACTTCATGGCAGATTTTTAACCTGGTGCATATTTATAGAAAAGGGAAGCACAATTTCTCAATATGTGTTTCTCAATTATCTAAAGCAGCGGTTCTCAACCTGTGGGTCGCGACCCCTTTGGCGGTCGAACGACCCTTTCACAGGGGTCGCCTAAGACCATCCTGCATATCAGATATTTACATTATGATTCATAACAGTAGCAACATTACAGTTATGAAGTAGCAACGAAAATAATTTTATGATTGGGTCACAACATGAGGAACTGTATTTAAAGGGCCAGAAGGTTGAGAACCACTGAATTCTAAAGTTATCTATAAATGTATTTAGAAATGCATTTAGGAGCGATGAACACCAAACTATTTGGCTAAAATGGAGGACTTTGGGCCTAGCTTGTAGAAATCATATTGTTGCTATTGTTGTTGTCTGGAAATTTCAAGCCTTTCCTGTTATTAAATCTTGGTTATGTTTAGGCATAACATAGAGCACACTTGGGAAAACCATCCAGGATAGCTGGAATTACAGCAGGAACCAGAGCAGGCAAGAACAAACATTAAAAGCTATTCACAGCCCAATGAAAAGTCAGTGCACCTTGAAAATCTATTAAGGTCTATCAAGAATACAAACAAGATAATAAGCTTAATAAAGAAAAAACTGAACCCACTAAATGGTACTTATGGAAATAGGTTTGAGGACATAGCTTTAATTGAGGTAGAACTAGTTCCTACTAAAACAAGGATGGCTTACCTTGCTCTTAATAGGTCCAAAAATCCTAGTAATGGTAATGGTACTAAATATTTTAGGAAGAACCAACAGTAGAAACCACAGTGGGATCTACAAATTGTCTTTTTTTTCTTTAATATATAAGTAAAATGCCAGTAAAACTACATTGGTCTAACTTTTCTGAAAATTAATCTTCCATCTTGCATTTCATATTGAACAATTTTACTATGTTCAGCATAGTAGCAACTGGAAAAAAATGTGTTTCATGTAGAAATAAAAGTGAGAAAACTTTACAAAAAACTGCTCTTCTGCAACGATAGCCTCCCAACTTCTTAATATAAAGCTAACACAAAATAAAGATTGCTACAGTAACCAAACTTTTCTGTAACAAGTATTCTTAACAACAATGGCAATTCAACCATAAAAGGTTATTTTCTACAGTGTAAGCAGATAATGGACCTGCAAACATTCTTCCCTTTTTTTTTTTTTTTTTTGCTAGCTTGCTTTATAAATCTTGCAACTTGCAAGCTCCAATTTTTTGGATGGGGAAGGCAGGTTAATGGTCGAGCGTAAAATAAATCAGCTCTGCAAATACTTTATTTTTTTTAAGCCGATGAAATACGTTTCCCTTGCCACGTCATGAAGCAATTCTGTGTCAACTTGCTATGGAGGCAAATGCGACAAACTCAGAGAGCTCCAGTCGTGAGGCGGCGGCTGGAGGCACCACAGCTTCCCGCACTCCTGCAGCAGCAGGACAAGGCGCTCTCCCGGAACCGGACCCAGAACCCCCGCTCAGGGCCTTCTGGGGCCAGGACAATAGGACAATACACCTTACCCCCTATTTCGGGGAAACTGAGGCACGGTGACCGGAGCGACCTCGAGTCAGGCGAAGCCCCAGCGCACTTGGCGTCCCTTCCCTGGGAGACCCGGGAGGCTCCTCGGTAGCGCGCGGTAGACACCGCGTTCCACGCCATAGGAGGCTTATCGTATAAGCCTGAGAGGCGGTGTCCCCAATCCATCCCCCTCTCCCCGGGTCCCGCCCCACAGTATGTTGAAGCATCCTGCGACCCCCGGGAGCCCGCTGCAGGGACCTCGCCGCGCCTCCCAGTGCGCAGCCTGCGTCGCTGGCTCCACCACCCTAAGTGCCCGAGAAAGTTCCGCGGTGACAGCCGCAGCTGCGACTCGACCGCCCACCAGGTGTGGGGCTCCCCGCTATCCGCGCCTCGCAGCCCGGTCTCACCGGGCGCCCCCGCTAACCTGACGCCGCCGTGCCACTCAGGTGGCCCCCGTGCACCGCTCGCCATGGCCAGCCTGAGAGCGGCCGCCGCGCCGCGCTCCCCGTCCGAGGACTCGCAGCGCCTACAGCCGGCGAGCCCCCTCCGCCAGCTCCGTGCCGCGAGGGCTGCGTCGCCGGCGGGCGGCCGGGAGTGCGGCGCTTCCCACCCACTGGAGCCGGAGCCGGCCGGTGCTGAGCATGCCCAGTGCGGCTCGCCGGGCGGCGCGGAGGCAAGGAACCGGGTGCGGTGTCAACGCCGGGTTTTCGCAGCAGCCACCGGCGCGGGGCGGTGCGGGCCAACCTGTGGGAGCCGCGGATCCTCCCGCAGAAGAGGGGGCGAGCTGTGGGTGCCAGGGAGTCCCCCTTTTGGTCCCCGCAGCTTCTGGCGCCGGCCTCCGCTGCAGGACGCCGAGCTTATTACGGAGCGGAGGGCATTTATTTCGGATGCCGTCGTGCTCGGGCAGCATGACTGGTCATTGAGATGCAGGGCACAACCAGGGGTTCTATTGCAACTTTGTGGAGCGTCGCGTCGCACTGTTATTCAGGGAGAGGTTTCTTAGAATCCCATCCCGGGACACACAACCCCCGAACCTACCCCGTCTCCAAGGCCACCTGCCAAGCCACCTTGCGATCAGAGGCCTCGGGCGACTCTGCTGTCAGTTCTAAAGCCCGCACGGAACAAGCTGGAAGAAAACACGCAGGACGTTCACTGGCGTCTTCTGAGTGGTGTGGTTCCAGGGATTTTAAAATTACTTATTTTTTTACTATTTGTTTCTAAGTTTTTTTTCTAATGTACAATATGATGCTTTTAAAATAAGGTTAGTCTAAAACTCCTGCAGAAGTCTGGCAGCAATACTCTGCGCACCCCACTCTTTTTTTTTTTTTTTTTGACTTGCCAGGCACTGTCAATTTCTGGGGCCAGGACCGAGCTCCTTTTCCCCGGCTCTTCTAGGCCCGCCCTTGGCCTCGCCCACACCCATCTTTTTACTTCCGTACCTCCCCCTTCGCCTACGGTTGCTGCCAAAACCCGGAAAGGTGGACTCTGCACGCTGACGCTTGTGGCTCCTGCAGGCAGACTGGGCTTGTTCCGCCGCCGGGTCAGGGACGGCTGTCACCGAGAAAGGAGGCTTTAAGAGACTCCCAGTTGCTTTCCTCCTTCTCCCGGTCCCTGGCCAATGAGACAAAATAGCGCCGCCGACCCCCTGCCCCGAGTTCGGACCCGCAGAAGTGGGTCAGGACCTGACTGAGCATGCTCCGGGCAGTGCCAGGCAGCCGCAAAGGCTGCGTCGGGTTGCCCAACGTGGAAGGTCAGGAGGCCGATGGAAGCTGGGCACTAGAGGTGCGCGAGAGCCTGGACAGGTCGCCCCTGCTGAGGCCCGTGGTGGGACGGGGACGAGGTTGTGTGTGTGTGTGTGTGTGTGTGTGTGTGTGTGTGTGTGTGTGTGTAAGGATGGGGGTGCGGGACATTTGGTTTCCCTAAAAGACTGACATTAGAAATGATATTTTAACATCACTTTTTATGACATCGCGAATAACAACACATTTTAGCTCTAAGAATTTTTCAGCCTGGTTTGCTTTCAGGCAACCTAAACCGCCTTTCATATACATTTTTAAAGGTATTTAATAGGCATTCTTTACAGTTGCACTCAAACACTAAAATTTCACCTGTTTTATCAAAGATTAAATTTTTGTCCTCACTCTCAATTCTGCAATATTATATTCCTCTTTAAAAATTTAGGCTGTACTGCATTCACTCTCAGATTCTCCTGCCTCCCTTTCAAATTCTCAGAGAACCTGCAGAATGTTCTCATACTGTCTTGGATACACTTGAGGCAGGTGTGGGGAACTTGCTTTTAATTCTCTGTCACAGAAGAGGCGACTGAAATGGAGTAAGCGTCCAGGGAAGAGATTTTACAGGCTTGAGGTAAACTCGGGAACCCAGAGAGCCTTGCACTGAGTCCAGGCAGGAACGGGACAGTGTGTGTTTTGTCTGGGGAGGAGGAAGATGGGCACATGGGACAGCTGCCCAGTGAGGTTTGGGGTGACAGTGGGAAATACCCTCAGTGAGGGTTGGCTCCATTTCAATGTCTTCCCTTTGTGCAGCCCTAGTTCAGCATAAGCATGGCTGGAGACACCATCTTTAAGTACTTGCCCCTAGGCTCCTAACCTGTGCTGCAGCCATCCTCAACCCCAAGCTTTCAGATGTCATTGTGGCTGGTACCTCTGAGCACTGCTCTTGAATTTCCCCAGGTCCCCATAGACATCTACATCACAGATAATCTAGCCTGGGAAAGGTTGACATCTCTTCAACAGTCCATTCCACCACTCCTCCCCAGCTGAAACTTTATGGTCCAGTGTTCCATGACCTCTCGGACAGTTTCTTCTCCAGGTTCCTTTCCTCGGCACCACTCCCCATTGTAGGTGTTCGGTCCTGTGGCCTCTTCCCTTCTCATTTCTCTGAGGGCTCTCATCCACTCTGATGATTGTCAGGACCAAGGTGGTGTTCATTTGGGTGTGCACGTGTGACCATGCTAGTTGTCTATTGCTGGGATCCTTTCTGCTCCACCAGGCACCTGTTCTGATTATCTATGCCTGACTGTTTGTCCATACCAGTTGGTAATATTCTGAATATTATCTCTGCCCCAAACCATAACCTCTTTTACACATCTACCCGAGTTCAGACCCTTGTATGTAATCTACCAAATATCCTAATTGCTATGACCCCCAGGAAATTTGAACCCAGTATGTCCCAAACAGAACTCGGGAGCTATGGTTGCTCTTCTGCCTATATGTGTTTCCTGGGACCCCCAAATTCTCAGCTATGCACACCACAAATATGGATGTTATCCTAGATTCATCCATCTGCCTTTCCCCTATCATCTTGCTAGTCACTGGTACTGTCCACCCTGCCCTTAGACATCTCTGCATACAGACCCTCCACCTTCACCTCCTTCTCCCCTTCCCTCTCTCTGTGTTCCTGCCAATCCATCCTCCACACCTCCTCAGATTTTTTTTAAGCAAATCATATTGCAATATGTCTGCTAAAAATCCTTAAGTGGATTCATAGTGCCTTCAGGATAGAATCTAAGTTTCAAACCTGAACTGGTCCCTGTGTCCTTCTCCAGATTAGCCTCCAGCCAGTGTCCCCTAGGGCCCCACATCCTAGCAACCCGAATTCCTTGTCCTGCAAATTCACGCCTCTGGGTTCCTTTACTCTTCCCTCTGTCTTTTCCCCTTGTCCATCCCTTGGCAACATCTTCAAGACTCAGTTCAGGCTGGGTCTCCTCTGACCTCCCCAAGATGACTTCCTCTTGAATACTTCACCTGCATCATATACCTTGTCTCCATTTTTAATTCAATTTTTAACTGCTTTATTAATTTCACATCATGAAAAGAATATTTTTCCCCCCAAAACTGGATGAAATTGACCTGCTGGACACAGAGTTTTACACGTAGGCCATACAATATTCAGTTAGAAACTGGTAAGAGGAAACACCAACAAGTTTACAGAAAAGTAAATCACAAAACTACTAAGTTTTAGAGCAGAGGCCACGTTATTTTATTATTATTTTTGCACATTGTGTTATTATTTATTATTTTATTATTTGTAAAACATATGTATACTTTCTGTTGACAGTATTACAGATGTTACCCATTCCTCCCCCTTCCCTTGGCCCCTTTGCTCAACCCCTATGCCTCTAGGCCTTCACCATACTATTGTCTGCATCCATGGGCTATGCATATAAGCATGTAAATTGTTTGTTTTATCTCTTCTGATCCCCTCCCTCCACTCCTAGATTTGTCAGTCTGTTCCTTGGCAGAGGCCACATTGTTAACCTCAGGGAAAGCCTTCAGATTCAAATGTAAGGTAAAAGTCATAATGATTATCAGGTTCAGGAGTTTGGAAGTGCATAGCCTGGCTCATTTGCTGCTTTCTTCTGATTTCCATTCATTTCTACACTATCTCCCACTTCATTGTGATCAACAGGCTTGATAGTTAGGGCCCATGGAAAATTAGGGACAGTCACCTAACCCACCCTAGCCAGACATCTCCTCCAGGCTTCCGGGCTTCACCCCCTCCAAATGGCGTGGTTCCTCCTCATTCTGCATAGGGGCCATTCCCTCCTTCATTTTCCTGTTGGGCATTTTCCTTGTTGAGATTTTTTTTACTGCTTGTACCTCTTTGGATGCCATCACTCCCGGGCCTATCCTTGTTGTCTGCTCCTCCTCACAATTCTTGCCGAAACACTTGGACCTGAAAACCTGCTCCCTCTCCGCCTCCACCTCCTACTCTTGGGGCTCCTACATAATCACTGGTTATGTAGTAAGGAAGCTGCTGTTTTTCCATGTGTTGACCTACAGGGGGATTTTACTTGGTGACTCAGGGCCACGGGGAAAATGAACCAAGAAGGGTGTGAGTGACTGCCCAGTCTGGTCTGCCTTGTCTCCATTTTGACGCCTAACCTTGATTTACTTTCCTTTGTCATATTGTAGGCAACATGACCACAAAGGCTCATCTCACAGTCTTTGTATCTTTGTTCTCAGTCCTCAGTACAATTTTACTTGATAAATGAATAATAGACATATATACCCACGTAATATTTAAAGTATATTAATTTTTAAAATTCTATCTGAGAATAGTAAATCGAGTGAAAAGAAAAAATACCAGAACAGTCACATCATATATAACCTGCTGAATGGTTATGCTCCTTTGAGTAATAAAAGCAAGATCTCAGATGTGATCTTAAACCCAGTGATTTTCTTCAGCTTCAGAAAGCAGGAAGTATTTTTGTGAGCCAGTCTGATGTACTTGTTTTAGCAGCCTGTAACTGCACAAAGCCAGCATGGTATTGCTAATTAATCACAAAGTCCATTGTTCTCTCTTACTGGGTTTCCTTCCACAGTGTAGTTATAAACTCATAATTATAGGGTTACTTCCTAGAACAGAGTTTATTTTTTGTTGTTGAAAGTGTGGCATCTTGGAAGGGCAGATTAACCATTTAGGAATGAACATGATTTTTATAGTTCTACCAGCTCCCATTGCCTGCTGAGAGCACCCAGAGATAACTGTGGATGGACGGACTGCCTCCTTT